TTTATGCAGATTTAATGGGGTATTCAATTATGTGCAAAGTTTTTAGCCTGAACTATTTCCATTGCACTACGAAAGCTATACACGAAATGGCAACAAAGAGTGAATAAAAACTACATTTAATTATTGTAAATATATTTACGTTCGATAATTTCAAAAAATAATGGAAAATGCAGGTTGTTCGCACCATATGCACAACGCTAGTCAAGACGCGGGGAACTGGCCAAAACTCCGAGGTGTGTGATGTGTGCGTGTGTGGCAAAGGCCCAGCATGGGCCGACAGACCTGTTTTTACGGTCAAAAATTTCGGGAAACACGCGGCATGTATCACTCCAAATACGAGTAGTGCGATCTCAAAATGAACTCTTGAACACAGAAAATACATTCACACACAAGCTAGATCAATTCTGTAAATTAACTTGCAAAAATGTTCTTTCTCTATCAGTGTTTTCTTGGAATTTTTACGATGTCGAATCCGACCAGTTGACAGTGGCCCGCACTGCCAGCACGCTTTCGGTCGCATAGCTAGCTGTGGACTGGTTACCGCATTTTCATCATGTCTTCTAAGTTGGCCCCTGCGCAGCGCAGCGGGAACCAGTCGTCGCCACGTGATTATAGTCAATGTGACATCGAATTGCGATGTAGTTATATCGCGAAGCGAATTTGTAAAAATAACGGAGGTTTCTTTTGAAAAAAAGCGAATGTAAGTAAGAAAACAAATAAATACAAGCATTTTTTTGATGCAAAAGGGTTGTTGAGTGGTATTTTGTGAAGACAGAATGGACAAATTTTTATTTTTATTTATTCAATTCTTTTTTTTCTTTTTTTTTTTGAATTGCCGATAAAATTGTTAGGTCGCAGCCTAAAAATAGGGTCGGTCGGGTAACCGGAAGCAGAACTATTCCTTTTTTTTTTCTTATATTCTCAAAATATTCTATATTAGAGAGTTTTGAGAGCCATAAAATTGGGGAATTGAAGAGATATGGTAATGAACCTCTGGCCCTGAGTATGAACCGGGCTTCATTATTTTTACCACAAATTTCCCATGGTTCACCGCGCCCAAATTTGAACTTTAACCCGTATGAAAGTTCTAATATTACTATGCAGCCCTGGGGAAATGTTTTGCCATGGCGAATTTGCTTTTGCCGTGGCGAATTTGCTTTTGCCGTGACAGTTGTGGGCCACCATAACACGTACATGTAGTCATGGGCAATACTACGGGTACCAGTGAGCCAGTATTTCATAGTCATCTGCGCTTCATCCCGCAGTACCCGTGAACACGCGTCAATCTCCATAAAAGGAGTTGTTTACGTCTTACTCGCGAGCTGGACACAGGGGCGGATGCAGGATTTTGCAAAGGGTGTGAATTTTTTCAAACCTGTGGGAGTGTGGGAAAAGTTTTTTCATAATACACTAACTTGCAAAGCCATGGCGTGGTTTTCAAAAAAAATTGAAACTTTAGAAGCTCTCTGGTGCATTTTAGAGCACATCTGGGGATCTTTGTGGTGGATTTTTCCTCAAAATTCTGAGGAGATTTATAATATTTTTAAAAAATAAAAAAAGAATAGACATTTCACACAAACAAATTTGGGTTGGGTCGGTAGGTTGGGATTGTTTTAATTTCGTCAAAAAGAATTGTGTGCTGATTGAATGAATGGAGCGTAAAATACAAGGAATCATGGAGGCATATTGTATGCCTGGATAATTTTTATTCGCATCACGAAACTGAGTTTTCGAGACTTGCTTAATAAAAATTTAGGGGCAACTACGATTTAAATTCTTTTATTAAAGTTAGAATAAAGGAATTTGTTGTAGAAATAAATGAAAGGAAAACAATTAATTCTGAGAAAATACAAAGGGCGGGGCTCGGTGATGGTCAGTGTGAGTGGGGTAGCTTATGGTAAAAGCACCATAACTCTACTCCCAACCCAGGGGGGATTTAATTAAGTTGTCATGCACTACAACTTACATAGTCATTACATCAAGGCCTTTCCTTGCCACGCCCAGGCAAAACCTGCACAGCCCTCCACAGACAACCTATCCCTAGGGCAGCACCCAGCAGACTGAAGCACACATAGCTAGTTCAAATTCCATGCACGTGGGGTTAACAATAGCAATTATGCAAATAAGATGCTGCATGCCTGGCTGGACTGATACACACTCAGCTCAGGGGGTGTGATGGATGAGAGGGGCAGGCTAAACCAAAAATAGAAGGTGGGGAGAAAGGTAATGATGAAGGGCTATTTTCATTACAATATATATGAGCGAAACAATCTCGTTATAAATACATTTTAATGGAAAATACATAGGCCTACATTGTACACGGAAAAGAGAGATCACATTCTTGGATTTAATTTAAAGAAATTCTCTTTCTCCATCGATGTTTGCGTTTGGTATTTTATATGATCCAAATTCATCCCGCCAAGCAATGTATTATGTAGGTCATAGCAAGGTTGTAGTCACTGGTTCAGGTCCTAACATCATAGCTTTGATTCTGCAGTGGGAATCAGTGAATGGCGATGGCACTGCGCACTGCACTGCCATGCTACCGGTATGCCGCACTGAACATCGTATACGGGTACAGGTAGAGCGGCAAGGCTTCAGTGAACTTTGATCACAAATGCATCAGAAATATAGGCTTTTTCATCAACATTTAGTATGCCAAGATGACAGAATGGCTTTTGTAAACAGTGTGTAATTCCAGCATATCGGGCTGATACGCGCGTTTGTACACAGGGAGAACATCTTGGGGTTTTTTTTTTCTGAAGAAAAAGGGGGTGGGGGCGGGCACCCCCACGCTCCCCTGGAATTGCCCCTGGGACACTCCATTAGGCCCAAAAAAAAAAGTCTCCGGTTTCTGGTATGCGCGCGCGTCGCCGTAGCCATGCGCGTCAGCAAAATGAAAAAGTTTTTTTTTCAATGAAAGATGATGTCTCAAAACCGCCAAACTCACTGGTTTGACTGGAATCCTGCTGCTGCACAATTTTAACGTGTTTTTAGATGGGGTTATGATCGAGAATAAGCTTTATGTGGCCTCTCTGGACTCCCATATATTTGCACTAAGTTTAGTCGGGCACCATTTGCATTCATCAGCTGACATTTGAAGCAAAAAAGTCAGGTAAAAAAAAAAAAAGCCGCGTCGCCGCACCACTTTTTGGACAAGCTCCATACCAGAAACCGGAGACTTTTTGTTTTTGGCCTTATCTAGCTTCAGGGGTGTTTTGAAAAACAGAAAGTAAAATTTTATTTTTTTGACTTATTTTGACTTTTGGACTGAAAAGTTTAGATGTTTTGACCGAAAAGGTATTTATGAATGGGAATAAATATGTGCTTGGTCAATATAAACAATATATTTAAGAATGGTTGGAGTCTGGAATGCTGATGATTGCTTCGCCTTGGGTAATTATCAGCATTCCAGACCCTGAAACATAGTGTTTAACACCTCCAAAGCACATATTTATTCCCTTATATATAATTCCTGAGACTTTCAAAGAAGGTAAGTGAGATGATTCTATGACCAGAAACCAACTGACTATTGTTTGAATTGATGCACTTTTAAGTTTGCACACAACGGCCACAAGCCTGCAAGTGTATAGCATAGCTGCCAACATTTCAGAATCCCAATTAGTAATCAACCCGCGCGGTCATTTTCAACTGCTCGTTTTATCAAAAGCTTTACCAACATCGAGTACAGGTACATGGTTTACATGTACACATACATGTGCATATCCTTCTTCTTGTGAATAATAATGTAATGTAGGCCAAAAGACAATTAAAAAAAAAAAAAATTAATTTTTTTTTTTTTTTAATTATTTTTTTTTTATGTCTGTATTTGTTTGTTGGAGTCAAATAAATAATAACAATAATAAAATATGCGCATATTTTTTTGGAGATGCATGCTATTGATGTGGAGTTTCGAGTTCGTATCAATGTTTTTACACACAATGATTTAGGGCCACCGTCATGACCGTATGCAATAGAAATATCCCGCCAACATACCTTGCAAACGCATGCTGATTTATCTTTTCTGGATGTTGTGACAAACTCAAACTGTAATACCAATTATTCCAACCATACTCTTATTAAATTCCATGATTAAATTGTCGCACTGATGGGTCTCAACCCGGCAAAAAGCGACCAAATGTGCTCACGATCGTCACTGAAAAGTACTCACATACAGTACACACAACCACACATCCACGAGATGCACACAAATGACACACCATTGAAAAATAGTTTTAGTCTGGTCCTCAAGTACTCCACTGCGCACACTGCATTGATGTCTATCAGGTGCTTGACTGCATTCTTATTAGACTTGTCACCAGTCCATCCATTATCGCGACATTTCGCCAGAAGTTTTCGGTCAAAAACGATACTTTACAAGTATTTTTTTTTCCATTAGGTAGAAAATGGGAAATTCGTAATGTTTTAGTGGCAAATCGTATTTTCGTAATTTAACAAACAATTCATAATAATTACGAAAAATTAGTAACAGTTGGCAGCTATGGTATAGATTAGCAACAACCTGGGCCCAATTTCACAGTGCTGCTTAACAGCTGATTTTGTGCTTACCGAGCCCCCATCTATTTCATCTAGACTGTAAGCAGTAAGCACAGCAAAAGCATGCTTGACAAAGAGGGAAAGGTGCTTAAATCAGCCGGGTAACAATAGAAATCTCCATGCGCATACAGCCATGTGCACCTCCACGCCTTTAGGTAGTAGGCAGCAGCATGATATTCTACTTGGCACAGCTTTTTGGATGAACTGTTACGACATGCTACGAAATTGGGCCCAGGAATTTACATGTAGATGGTATGCTGAGTATGTTTAACATAAACAAATAAAGCCAAAACTTGTACAAAGATGAAGGTAACATGTAATGCAGATAGAATCATGGAATTATTCATATCAATGTAATGTGACACAAATTGTTGGAGGTATATTCTGACCAGGTGATTTACATGTAAGGTTTAAGTTCTTGAAAGTGTAACAGGAATACATACTGTTTTTGTGGCATGTTGACTTGCAAAAGGCTGTTCAAGGTTTCCCCTCAATGTCTCCGACAGAAGAAATGGTGCATACACAAGAAGACAACGATCTGGTACCTGTAAATATTGAAATTCATAAAGTTAGCATGTGTATGAAACAGAAACATGGAAAGGTGATACAAAAAGTGTGGAAAATAATGCCATGGGATAATGAGGGAAAAGGACCAATAGGGACTATTTTTCACAGCCTCCGCAATTTTCCAACCTCTGGGGGGGAAAAAAGAAGAGTTGTTGCCCCAGCTGTACATGTTGATTCGCAATAAGCATTGGAGCTGGGGTTTCCCAAGCTGGGTAAGCGTACATAGCAGTGATCGCCGTCTTTATTTTTGTGTTGCCTTTTGTCGTTGTCATCATCAATTTACTCCTAAATTTCCCTCAAAAATTTAAAAACCTGCACTCTATCAATGACATACCTGCATGTTCTTAATGTTGCCAACTAGTTTTGCAAGTCAAATAAATTAAAAGTGGATTTGGTTCTCTTATAGGGAACCGGGCCCGTAACTAAATGATCGTCAAACCTATGGGCGTATTTATACTAGCTTGAGAAACTCCAGTTCCAATACTCCAGTTCCAACACTTATCAGGAATTTGACATTTAGAGCTGGAGATCAAAGCCACCAGTCAAAAAAATAAGGGTGGAGACTGTGAAAAAAAATGGCCTCTGAAAAGCCACCTAAATCATCAATTTAAAAAAACAATTTTGTCGGTATTTTTCTCTTGCAAGTTGACCATTTGCTTTGTTAATGATTGCTGCATGGTATTGAGTATGCCCTATTAAAGTTTAGTCTCATCTGCATTTGGCTAATTCGCCCATTAATTGTTTCCAAACCCCTCCCCCAGGCTGCCCCACCCAAGATGTGGGGATTGTCACTTTTGAAATGACAAAATCCCCATCCCTCAGGCAAATTTGGCCTCCACTTGAAAATGGTCTTTTAAAAACGCCTTTTTTCAACCGCTGGCTACAAAGTTGATTGACCTCCAGCTCTAAATGTCAAATTCTCAATAGGCATTGGAGTTTCTTAAGCTAGTAATATACATCATTGCATGATGTTGTTAGACCCCTTACGTTTACGGCTCGATCATAGGTACAGTAGACCTAATGATGTACGGTAAAACTAGCTTGAGAAACTCCAGCTCCAATGCTTATCAGGATTTGATATTCAGAGCTGGAGGGAAAACTATGTTGTCCTAGCACATAATAATAACTAGAGCTATGTCTGTTCGATGAACAGAAAATAGGGCTTTTCCGTATTTCTTTTTTGTGTGTCCATATGCAAAAGCATACATGTACCATAGTTAGGGAACTAACTTCTCCACAGGACTTTAAAATATACAACTTTTAACATGATCGACGTCACATGTCCCACTATGACGTCATCGTAACATCACTTGTCAATGCACATGTTTTGTAGTCTTGATGTGCACCAAGTTTGACATCAATCCCATGAAAGAAAGTGTAAAATTTTGTAAGCGGAATAAAATCTTAAATATTAAGAAAATAATAGAATATCAACTGATGACATCATGGTGACAACATTTCAAATTTTGCATACTTGTGACATTTTCTACCTATCCACAAAGTTTCATGACAAGGGGAACTTCTGTTATGCATGCGTTTGGGAAACTTGCATTTTTGATGATGTCATCGTGACGTCACACATTTTTTTTTAAATTGTGCATATACCTAAATTACCTGACAAACCAACTTCAAAAGGATTTTTAAATTTTACATGTTGCGTTGGTGAGATACAGCTTAAAGGTCCAAACATTCAAAAATTCATATAAAATCACATGATTACGTCAGCATGACGTCATCTCAATTTTTACCCATAACACAACCCGGTCTAACTATATACCAAGTTTCAACCCAATCAGATTTACTGTTCTGTAGATATAAGACTTCAAAATATGCACATTTTTGATGACGTCACGTGTCCCATGATGACTTCATCGTAACAACACCTGTCAATGCAAATATTTCTATTGTGGTCTTGATGTGCACCAAGTTTGACATTAATCCAATGAAACAAAGTGTACAATTTTGTAAATGTAATAAAAATTTTAATATTTAAAAAAATCATAAAAAATCAACCAATTACGTCATGGTGACGTCATTTCAGATTTTGCATACTTGTGAGACCATCTACCTATTCACAAAGTTTTATGACGATTGGGCCTTTCCTATGTGTTTTGAAAAATGGCATTTTTGAAGACGTCATCGTGACGTCTCACTTTTTTCTAAATTTTTGGCATACACATATTACCTAACATACATAATACAAAAAGGAACTTGCAATTTTGCATTTTGCGTTCATGAGATTGGCTTAAAGATCAAAAAATTCAAAAAATTATATTAAATTGCACGATGTCGTCATCGTGATGTCACCTCAATATTTACCTATAACACATCCCGGTCTATCAACACTTGTCAGTGCACATGTTTCATTGTGGTCTTGATGTGCACCAAGTTTAAAGTCAATCCCATGAAAGAAAGTGTAAAATTTTGTTAGAGTAATACAAATTTCAATATTTAAAAAATCATAAAAAATCAACCAATGACGTCATGGTGACGTCATTTCAGATTTTGCATACTTATGACACCATCTACCTATCCACCAAGTTTCATGACGATTGGGCCTTCCCTTATATGTGTTTTCAAAAATGGCATTTTTTATGACGTCATCATGACATCACACTTTTTCTAAATGTTGGGCAAACACATGTTACCTATAAAGAAACATAATAAAAAAAAGCATTTTCAATTTTACATGTTGCGTTCGTGAGATATGGCTTAAAGCTAAAAAAAAATTTGAAATTATATATTAAATCGCACGATGACGTCATCGTGACATCACCTCAATTTTTACCTATAACACATCCCGGTCTACCAACATACCGAGTTTCAACCCAATCGGACTTACAGTTCTGTTGATATAGACCTTCAAAATATGCACGTTTGTAAGGACGTCACGTGACCCACGATGATGTAATCATGACGTCACTCTTCGAGACACAACTTCACTATAGGGTCTTTACCTGAGATAAGTTTCATTGGAATAGGACTTTGTTTTAGGTCAAAAGTGGGTCACAACAAAAACGTGTACAAAGTCAATGGGATCTGGGGTGGACCCAAAAAGATCAAAAAGAAGAAAAAACTAGAGGTATGTCTGTTCAAGAACAGAACATATGGCTTTTCCGTATAATAATTTTTTTTCATGAGTTTATATCAGACTTGTATTCGAGTCACGAAACATCGAGTCCAAGTCCGAGTCCCGAGTCCTCCAGGTCGAGTCCGAGTCCGAGTCACGAGTCACAAAGGTTGAGTCCAAGTCCGAGTCATGAGTCACCTCTAACATTGTATTGGAAAAACGTACATTTTAGGGAATTCAGAGATTCAGAGTCACCTTTGATATAGGCCTACATGTACGTCAGCCACGACATAACACGGTACGAGGCAAGGGAAAACCTAGGCTACTTGTTAGGATGCACGTATGTGAAAGGTGGCGATTGAAGTTTGACGTAGTGCCGGGTTTCTCCTCTATTTTCCTCTTGCAGAAGTTGCATTCTGCACTTGATCTTCCATTGGCATTTCTCTTGAAGTTAAGATACCCAAAATTGACAATTTTTGGAGTGGATGCCATCATAATCTACGTTGCAACTTGCATGTAACGTTACCGAAACGGGCAGATCAGCAGACTATTCATATCGCGTTATCACGATGCGAAAGCAATACACGTGTGAACGACAGGACGTCTGACAAGAAAAGTCTGGTACCTTACGTTATCAATCTTGCACCAATGCAGTATTACGTGCGGACGGCAGGGTACAGGTTTCGGTACATTGATTTCTTTAATCAATATATGGGTAACCGGCCACGGCCACGCACGCACCGCATCAGCGCCCTGTACATGTATTGCACAGTAAAGAAAACGATCGACTTACGAGTCATAAGTCAAAGTGAATCGAGTCTGAGTCCGAGTCATTAAAAATGTGACTTGAGTCGGACTCAAGTCTGAGTCCGAGTCACGAGTCATACAAGTCTGGTTTATATAACTGTTTATGTAAATTATGTAAATTATTTTCTAAAATTTAAAATTAATTTGACTCACAAAGTTGAAAGTGCATTTTATGTCATATTTTGCTGAATTTTGAATTGAGTATTGAAGTTTCAATATGTGATGTTCCCGGTTACCTAAAGGAATTCACTTCGTCGATAAACCAAATTGAATGCAATGCAAAATGGTTAGCCTTTAAATGAGACTAATCATCTGAGCACGTACTCAATTGATTAAATATGATTGTGTGAAGTTTCAATCACACAAGTTATTGTAATTATTATTTTGTTAAACAAACACACTTTTTGCAACAGCTTTGACAATTGTAATTACAAGGCTTGAAATAAGACTAGCTGTCACAAAATTCAATCGTGACACAACCAAATTGCATGCATGCGAATTGGCCGTATGCTCTCAATTGAGTTAGAATTCATCACGGCATCAGCCTTGAACACAGACTATATCACCATACCCGTGACCCGACCCAATTGTTTGCAACATTTACGTGTATAAAGCATGCAAGGCAGATCATTATGCGCGCATTGAAAACTTTCACGCGTCATATACGTATGTACTTAACAGTCAGATCACTTTCACCCACACAACATGTACACATACATTCGAAACGCACATATGGCATATGTACGGGGCACGGGAAAATGCAGAGAATACTGCTTTACGTTGACAAATGACCCGCGCAATTATTGTACGCACAACCGGTACATGTATATCATATCATTTGTACATACGTTCCAAAACACTGCTTCGTATCAAAGTCTATGTGGCTTGGAAAACTATACAAATTACAATACAAATCTGATTATAATGCCACCCGAATGCAACTTTGTTTTAGAAAATGAAAATATGTTAATGTTGTCTTGGTCTGCAACAAATTTGGGTCGATCAGATCAAAAACAGTGTTAAATAAAAACAAATCGTAGAAAATCATAAATTCATAAAACATAAGCGGATGGCTTGATTATGACGTCATCGTGACGTTAT